GCTGCCCCTTATGAGCTGTGGGATCTTGAACAAGTTACTTGATTCGCTGAGCTTCAGTTTCCTTATCAGGAAATGAGCATGGTGAGAGTTAACCAAGAGGTTACTGTGAAGATTCACTAAGATAATTCATGTGCCAGCCCCTGGGAAAGGGCCTGGAACATAGGAAGCACTCAATAAATGTTGGTCATTAGAAACATTATTAGTGAGAGTGCTAATGGGCAACAGTGTAGGTGACCTAGAGATTGTCCTACTGAGTGAAGTAAGCCAGACGGAGAAAGACAAATATGATTATAGTATTGCTTATATGTGGAACCCAAAAAGAACTTATTTATAAAACGCAGACTCACAGACACAGAAAACAAACTTATGGTTACCAAAGGGGAAAGAGGAAATATAAATTATGAGTTTGGGATTAATAGATACATTCTCACAGGGAACTATATTCAGTATCTTGGAAGAATCGGGAAGAGAAAAGAATCTGAAAAAGAATAGATACATATTATATACTCATGTATGTATAACTGAATCATTTTGCTGTATACTGAAACTAACTCAACACTGTAAATCAACTCTACTTCAATTTTTAAAATTGAAAAAATAAATAAAAGAGAAAGAAACCCAGCATTTCTTCCCTGGATTCTGGAGGAGAGGAGAGGAGGAGACTGGCTATAAAAGACCTCAGAGGGCTCAGGTTGTACAAATACCTTCTCTCAGCAGCCCTTGAGTAAAGGGAGCCAGCCCTGGGGCTGGGCTCGTGGCTGGGACAGGAAGAATACAGGGTGGGTTGTGCACCACGACAAGCCCCCAGAAATGATAATTTATGAAGCTTCTTCAAGTTACCTACTCTGAAATCACCAATGTCCTTTTAAAAGGGAAATAATTCAGACACTTTCAGCATGTGTTTTCTTTTCTACAAGTAGGGCCAGTATAAATTATACCTAAGTAAATTAAAAAAATTACTTGGATTTGAAAAAAGCAGCCAGGAAATTCAATGGCATTTCTTAGCCACATGGGCCTGTCAGAGCACCTTTAAAATGTGGGTGAGCCCGCCATGGGAGCCCATGAATGGGAGCCTGTTCTCAGCTTACCTGGGGCCTCGCTGAGGCCAGGCAGCCTGGGGCAGGCCTGCAGGGGCTGAGAGGATGCTAAGTGTCGGTGATGAAGAGCCACTTTATGGATTTCCCACCATTTTCGAAGCTGCGTGCAGTTCATAGAACACCTCCAGTTGAGAACCATTGGGGACACGTCTTCTTTCAGGGGGACCCTCCCTGGAGGCAGCAGAGCTTATGAGAGAAATTTGACTCCTAACTGTGATAAGAGAGGCCTTGAAGAAAAGAGGCTTTCTCCTTCATTTGTTCAGTCAGCTGGACAAACACCGGCCTAACCCACAACACATGCTGCAAGGGAGATCTCTTCACAGTCAGGGGACCTGTGAGCCCAGCACATGGAACATGTGACAGCACAGGAGGCAGGTAGAGAAGAACGCCGCCTCTGTTTGGCCAGAGAAGGCTACCTTGGGCCAGATACAAGACCGCGTCCAAGCTCCCTTGGTGGGCAGGGGCTTCACAGAATACAAAGCGAAGACAGGAGAGTTAAGAAACAGGGCAGCGGCCACCCAGCAGAAGCCAGTGGACAACTTGGAGGCTGAGGTGAGGGTCCTGCTGCCTTGCAATCCTGAAGGTTTGAAGGTGGGCCCTCACATCCACTGTAGACATTCAAAAAACATGCCTCGAGCCTTCACACATCACAAAAATTAACTAACACCTACATGGCACTTACTATGTGCCACTTGACATGCGTAATCTCACCGATTCCTCCTTTAGTTCAATGATACTCAGTTTTACAGATGAGGAAACAGGCCCAGAGAGATGAAGTGATGAGCCCTGAGGTCACATGGTTAAACAACAGTAAAGCTGACTCCACCCCAGGGTGCCTGGGTCTAAAGCCATATACCAAATGATACTGTCTCTCCAGTAACCCCATCAACGACAGACATCAGCACCCTGTGATCCAAAACACAATTTCATTCATTCACTAAATATTTATTGAGTACCTTCCATGTGTCGGACATTAGGGTGGGTACTTGGAAAACAGCCCTTTAACAGACCGACAGCGTCTAGGGGGTAGGAGATAAGAAACCCATAAAATACACAATATGCCCCATGGTGACGCATGCTAAGAGAAATAAAACAGAGTAAGACAGTGACAGGGTGGGGACTTCTATGTTTTAAATAGATTGTTCAGGAAGGCCTGTCTGAAAGATGACACTCTAACATAGATTTCAATGAAGGGGAAGCCTTGCAGTTACCTGGGAAAGAACATTTCAGGAAGAGGGGAGAGAGGAAGTGCAAAAGGCCTGAGGCAGTACTGTACTTGTCACACACTACAAAGAGCAAGGAGGCTATGCTGGAGTGAGGGAGGTGGGAGGATAATGAGATCAGAAAGATGACAGGGGCTCAGGCAAGTGAGGGCCCCCTGAAAGACCTTGGATTTGATTCCAACTAAGATGAGAAGTTACTGGAGGATTTCGAACAGAGAAGTGATATGGTACAGCTTTCCTTTTAATAGTATTACTCTGACCGCTACTTTGAGAACAGACTGAAGGGGAGCAACGGTAGAAGCAGACTGACGAAGAGGCAAAAATCCAGTGGGGAGAGGATGGCTTTTCAGACTAAGGGGACAGCAGTGGAGGTGGAGAGACATGTTCAGAGCTCAGATAAACTTTGAAGGTAGAACTTACAGAATTGTTCAAAGGGTTGGATGTGGGGTATGAGATAAAGAAAGGAGTTAAAGATGACTGCAATTAATTGGAAGGATGCAGCTGCCATTTATTGAGACTATGGACAGAGCAGGGTGAGGAGAAGATCAAGAGTTCAGCTTGGGGGACGTCCCTGGTGGTCCGGTGGTTAACACTTAGCCTTCCAATGCAGGGAGTGCGGGTTCGATCCCTGGAAGGGGAGCTCAGATCCCACATGCTCCTCAGTCCGAAAACCAAAACATAAAACAGAAGCAATACTGCAACAAATTCAATAGACTTTAAAAATGGTCCACATTAAAAAAAAGTCTTAAAAAAAATTCAGCTTGGGACCTGTTTGGTTTAGATTCCTATTAGCTATGTGAAGTGAAGCTATCAACTAGGCAGCTGTGTAGATAAGTCTGAAATCCAGTCTGGGTAAAGATACGATATTTCATCAGCACATAGGTGGTGTTTATGTAGATGGTATTTAAGACAAAGAGACTAGAATAGATCCCCCAGGGCGTGAATGTAGAGAGAGAAATTGAGATCAAAGTCCTAGGGCCCTCAAATGTTTAAGAGATGAAGCCTCGAAGAGAAGAGGACATTCAGCAAAGGAGACTGAGGAGGAGGGGTAACCAGGGAGACAGGTGGAAAACCATGACAGTGTGATATTATGGAATCCAAGTGAAGGAGGTTACTTCCAAGAGGAGGGAGCAATCAACTGCAGCAAATGCTGCTGATGGGTCAGCTAAGATGAGGACAAAGACCATTTGCTTTGGAAAGTGGAAGTCTCCCACGAGCCTGGATAAGAGTGGTTTCAAAGAGTGATGAGGATGACAGCCTCAGTGGAGCAGATCTGAGAGAGCAGGAGAGGAAGAGGAAAGAGCATGCGTGGACACCTCTTAGGAGTCTGGCTGCGAAATGAAACCAAGAAATGGGACAATAAGCAACCAAGAATTGGTTATATCTCAGGTTTGTTTACCAGGCAAGCAGGAGAGAGAAAATGAGGGATGATGAATTGCTGGTGCTGACAAAGAAATGACTGTCATATATTCAAGGCAGTGTGTTTAGAATTAACTCAGAGTCAAATAGCCAAAGTGGACAGACTTAGCTATGCATGAAGAGCCTAGGATTTTGACCCTTCCTAGGAGCCAGATAGAGCTTCTGAATCCCATTGACCACATGGATGGGTTTTTACCCACGCATCAATTCCCCAAACGACTCAAGAGAAGCCATTCCTGCAGCTGCTCTGAAGTACTCAGCACACCCTTAGACAGCACCTCTGTGCTCTCCACCCAGCCCCTGGTCCCCAGCGTTAGCTTTAGTACCTGCTCCTACTATGCTCCCCTTCCACATGTTTCTTGAACTCCAAAGAGTCTCTGAGAAAAACATGTCACCTGACTGGAAAAGTTATTTCTAGGAAAGAAGCAAATTCTGAAAGGCTAAAGAGGCTAATACACCAATTCCCTATCCAGACCCAGAGTCTGGCCAGTAAGAGTGATAGCTTCTGAAAACCAGTGAGCTCTTCACCCACAGGCAGAGGCCCCCTCCTGGGAGGCATGTCCATCCTCCAACGGGAGCAGGGTATTCAACGCATAAGCTCGGCACCTTTTGGTATAGCTCTCTTGAAGTAACTGTTTTGAGATGAGACAATGCTTTAAAAAAAAAATCACCCAATAGTGTGTGCAATAGACACCCCCAGTGCTATTAATGATGGGGAGAGGGATGCAGAGAGACATTCATTTTATCCGCCTCCCTCTGGCCCCACCCCAGCTCCCCACAGCACCCACTATTAACTGAGAGAAGGCTGGGTGTTTCTACAGGGAACACATATGCCCAAGTTCTTGCCCTGTCAGACCAAGGTAGTAATAATAATAATAATAATAATGGTGCTCTCATCGCATACTGAGTGTGAACCCAGCATTTAACATAATTGAGAACACAATGAAATCGGTATATTAATTTGATTAAAGTGTCCTTTTTTTTCTTGCCCGTGCCATGTGGCTTATGGAATCTTAGTTCCCCAACCAGGAATGGAACCTGTGCCCCCTGCTGTAGAAGCATGGCGTTTTAACCACTAGCCCACTAGGGAATTCCATAAACAGTGTCCATTTTCAAGCGAAACTTCTGAGAAAGAGGTGTGGCTTCTCATTAAACGGTGTGATGTGCCTTTAGCAAATATACATACATCTCAGAACATCAGAACTGTCCTTTGATGATAGCCTGATAGGGAATTCCAGCCCCTCCCTCCCGACGTGCTCACCATTCCTCAGCAGCACATCTCCGCTTGGGCTGGAAGGGTTCTGTCCCTGGGGGCTCTTGACATTGCCCAGAGCTCTGGAGAAGTGTTCATCCACCACACTGCTAATGTCCCCTTGGAAATAGGTGAAAAGGACACAGCGGGAATTCCATTCAGTTTTGATAGGGCTCTGTGTGAGGACGGTGGTCTTCGTCACGTCTTCCATGGTGACTCAGGGGAGAGCTGCGGAGCAAATGCAAAATGTTACTGGTACTCTTTTTCCAAGCGGTTTGGCTAAGTTGGCAGAAGTGGCTTCCTTGAGGACAGTTTGCGCCTAAGGTTCAGGTTCTCTCACTGGGGCTCCCAGGAGCTGCGCAGTTGCTGAGCAGTCTTTAGGAAATAAGACAAAGTGCTGAAGGGGTCCTCTCTTATAAATGTGAAAGAGTGTCTGGGAACGTGATTAGAAGAGCATCAGCAAATGAAAAAAAAGGAAAGAAAAAGGACACTGAAGCCAAAGACTGCAGTAATTTGCCAGCTGGGGAAGTGCCTGCCTCCCACTAGATTCCCTGAACAAGGGCACGAGTACTCCAGTAGACCTTGACTAAGCAATCAGTGGATACTGACAATTTGTTGCCCTAGCAAGCCTTGATTTCTACCTTGCCCACTTCCGTGCAGGAGCACCAAACCCACCAAATTCTCCTGCTCTCCCTGACATGGTGATTCATGCGGGATGGGGTCCTACACCCACCCCCACCCCATCTTAGAATTAGCAATTACAATCAACCAGTCCTAAGGCCTCCAGACAGACATACTCTGCCCAGAATCACTTAGAAAATGTCAGAGCTTTAAATCCAGGTCCATATTCTGTTTTATTTTTCTTTCGGCTGCACCGCATGGCTTGCAGGACCTCAGTTCCCCAGTGAGGGACTGAACCCGGACCACAGCAGTGAAAGCCCAGAGCCCTAATTACTAGGCCACCAGGGAATCCCCAGATGGATACACTCGGCACCCAATGCAGCTAACATTTTTCACACTGATACTCTGTTGGGAAAGAGCACTCTGTTCACCAGGCTTCCTGTGCGCCTAGAGGGTGCCTGCCACCTAGCTCAGTATTGAGCAAATGACCCAACAATCATTTGCTGAATTGCCTTCAACTTGGCCTCAATGGGTCCTACCTGTGAGCTCCTTGAGGGCAGAGGCTGTCCTTTTTTGCACCCAGGCAGGGACCAGGCATGCAGACGGGACCTCAGAGAGGCCGTGGCCTTCCTTTACCAGGGAAATAAAAGGTCTGGGTGCTTCGTCACCTCTGGCCATCCAATCCAACTTGCCCAAAGTTCTGGCTAAAGAAATTTTGAATCTAGTCATTCTGATGCATATAATGCAAATGACTAGAGTTGAATAGCCCATCGCCTGGTCTAGTCTCTGAGATCCAGGAGGATGGGGGCCATTTCTTATTCATTTCTTTATCTCTAGCACCTAACACTCAGTAAACAATGGCTGAGTGATGAAATGCCATTTCGTGCAGAGAAGGCACAATGCAAGGAAATCACACCAATTAGGGCTCAGAGGACCTGGGCTTGCCCTTGACTGGGTGTGTGCCTTTGGGGAAATCACTGGGCCTCTCTGGCCTTCAGATTCCTCTAGTGTAAAATGAAGAGGTTGGGGTATAGGAATTCTGCAGCCTATTTTATTTTTCTGCCAGAAGTGTCAGTCGATTATCATGGGACCATTAGGAGGGAAACTGGGAGTAAGCAGAGGACCCTTATTTAAAAGTTCTTTCTGAATCTTAGCCCCAGTCACAGCTGGATTCTGTTGTCTCTAGAAGCCTTTGATTCAGCATGTCAATCTGTTTCCCCCTGGGTGACAGACACGTTAAGCATCACCAGGCACCACCCTAAAAAAAATGAATCCACTGTATTCTTATTTCAAAAAACATAGGAATCACCACTTTGAAAAACCGTCCAGCGGTGTCTTCTAAAGTTAAACGTACGCTTACCATAAGACCCAGCAATCCCACTTCTAGGCACATATAACCAAGAGAAACGAAAACAGATGTGTGCACAAAGACTTCTACATGAGTGTTCGTAGGGGCTTTGTTTATAAAAGTGAAAACAGCCCAAATGTCCATCACCAGGAGAACAAATAAACGAACTGTGACATTTTCATACAATGGAATGTTCTTCAGCCATAAAAAGGCACAAACCACATCCACCCAACAGCATAGATGAATCACAAAAACATTAACCTGAGTGACAAAAGCCAGACACGAAAGACTGCATATTGTATGACTCCACTTACATGAAACAGGCACAAATAATCTATGGTGATAAAAATCAGGACAGCAGTTGCCTTGAGGTAGAGCTTGGAAAAGGGTGAGAGTGGACTCACAGGGGTGCTGGAAATGTCTTACATCCTGAAGAGGGTGAGGGTTACATATGGATGCAGATGTGTCAAAACTCATCAAATTGTGCAGCTCAGATCTGCAAGTTTCACTGAAGGCAAATTATTCCTCAGTGAAAAAGCACATGATATCTTCAGATACTTGGGACTTTGAGCAATAAAGCAAAGGTGTAATCCTTGAGCACGTTATGACATAAGTCAAAGTATAATCTCACTTATCTGTGGAATTTTCAAGAGCCAAACTACAGAATAAAATGGTCGTTCCCGGGGCTGGAGGGACAGAACCAATGTTGTTTAAGGGAATAAATGTGCAACAAGCAGTGAACAAGCCCTAGAAATCTTCCACACAGTGCAGTGAATCTAGACAATACTGCATTCTAATCATCAAACTTGCTAAAAGACTAGAATTTAATTACTTGAACCAATAAAAAGAAAGGGTAATGATGCATCATGATAGAGGTGTTAATTATGGCTGCCACGATGGTAATTGTATGACAATATATAAATTTATCACATTAACATGTTGTGCATGTTAAATCTACACAATGTTATCTATCAAATATATTTCCAAAAAATAGCAAATCAAATGAATAATAAAGCAATGGTATTATGAATGACCAAGTAATGATAAGCATGGACACGACATTTTTGCTAAAGCTGCAGTTCACAGAAGACCTATTCTGTCCCAGAGGCTCCAAATATATTTTCTCCAATCTTTACAACCCTCAGACTAGGTGTTATTATCCCCATTTAAAAGATGAGCAAATCTGGGCTTAGAGAAAGAGGAAATCAAGGGCCCAGGCCATGCAGCTAGGTGGTGGCAGAGCTGAGGTTTGAACCCAAGTCTCCCTGACTTCGGTGTCTGGCCTTTTCTCACTATCCCTTTCTACCTGTCGGGGCAAACAGCCCCTTCCCCTCCATGGGACGCTCATCCTGATCCAGTCCTCTGGCTCCCAGTCAGGCCGGCAGACGGTCTATCTGCACATTCTCATGGGCGTCTCCTGGAAGCCGTCACCTGCAAGGGCGGCTTAGCACCTTTGTGGGTCTTGCCCTCTTACCCTCTTGCCAGTGGCCAGTGCTCTAGCTCAGGTATGACCCCGCCTGCCACCTCTCTTTGCTAAGTCTCCCTGAAGCCATGAGAAGCAGCTGGCTGGACCCCTGAGACATGAATGCCGTGAAGCATGCTCCTAGCCTCCCTGGGCAAAGACCACAGGCTAGTTCCATAGAAATAGAGCAGATCAGAGAAGGCCGTCTCGGTCCCCCTCACCTGGGGAGCTCAGACCTCACACAACTGCGGATCTTGAACAAATCTCAAGTCCTATGCATGCCCCTCTTTTCCTTGCCAAACACATGGACACATACTCTAAAGGAAAGCCCTGGAGTACATCTCTGGATCACAGCTCATGAGTAGTTCCCCGGCTGTACTCAGACCTCAGGGGATGAGGGTCTGTATTTGAGGGCTATTCAAATCTCTGAGTTGTTACCTGGTTTAATCCTTTACACAATCGCATCTCACTGAACCTCTGGAGTGACTTGAGCGGTTTCATCCCCACACGAACCCTCCTTGAAGGCTCTCTTTCCTGGGGAAGTGAATTGGTGGGGTGGGTCTGGCTTAGAAGGAGGTGCCACAAAGCTGGAACAGAGGGTAGGACTTTCCTGGCCAAGATGCTGCTGTACTGGCACCTGGCTTTGTAGCGAAAGCCTCTTGCAGACAAAACCCTTGGCCTTGGCCAAGCTTTGCCAGCTGTGCAGTTCAAATAGCGTAATTACAATATTCCCCAGTGCTCAGAAATTTAAGACACCAAGTAGGCATCGAAATACTGCCTGGTCTTCGGCCCAAATATTTTGGGCCAAGAGGAATGCAAGAGCAACAGTTTGGCCTCCATTCTACCAGGATGCCTACCTTCACACGCTTACCACCCTTCTGGGAAATGGTACCCAGCACCCCTGGGGTTGGGATGGGGAGTCTGAGAGGTTGGGTTGTCACAGTGATCACTTGGAACAAAGCCCCAAAGGCACCGGAAGGCATCTCCTTAAGCAAAGCATGTGATGCCCCCTACCACCACCACCTCCCCCCAGCCCCAGTTCCTTCTCAGTTGAATTCCCATCCCTCCTGCCTCCCCCAGAGCTCCCACCTTCTCTCACCTTAATTCTCGACCATCGGAGGTGGAGACACAGCAAGACGCTATGGCCAGGCGAAGGTGTGTTTTGCTGGCCGGCGCTGCCTGGCCTGCTTTAGAGCAGCTCAGCTCTGGTCCGAGCAGGGCCTGGCGATCTTGTGCCCTCCCCTCGCTAACTTTCTACCCCTCTAGCTGAGCCTATACGAAGCATTTCCTGCTAGCTATCTATTAAGAATGCAGAAAATGTACTCCAACAAGTCAATCGGGTTGGGCACCTGCAGGAATGAGGAAAATAGGTAGTTCTTTTTTTATTTCTTTCTTTTTGCATTAAAAAAAAAGTGCTTAGTGATATTGTCTCTTAAAGTGGGCAGCCAATTGTTTGCCCGGAAACCATACACAGAGTAGTAGCGTCTTCAGCATCAGTGCTGGGGCTGGAATCCAACTGATGGGACTTTCAGTCTCCGGAATGCAAAGTTTGACTGGTCACTAGTTTCTTCCTCTTTTCCTGTGGGAAGAGAAAGGGAGCCCAGCCCTCTAGGATTCTGGACTTTCTCAGGGTTCCATGGGCCCAGAGGGATCGAGGACTTCTCCAAACCTGCAATAGATGCAGCAGTTCAGGACTCCAGCTTCAGGCTCATAGCAAAGGAGGCCCAATCCACATTCTGAAAAATCTTCAATAGCACCATCATTCAGACCCCAAAGCCTGGGGGCCGTTCTTTGCTTCTCCCATTCTCTGTTTCAACCATATTAATTTAACAGATATTTATTAAACACTTACTATATGCCAGGCACCATTCCGGGAGTTTTGTTCCATAGTGAAGAAAACAGACCACCAAATCCCTGCCTTCGGGGAATAATAAATACGTAACATGTTTTATATTTGCCTATAGTATATGGACTTGTCAGGTGTCAGTAAGTACTATAAAGAGAAATTAATCAGCCAGGGAATAGAAAGTGTCTCATTTATCTAGGATGTTCATGAAAAAATGTTCTGATGAAGTGACATTTGATCAGAACCCCGGGTCAGGGCAGGGGAAGCATGTCAATACCTGCTTGCCTGATATCTGGGGGAACATCTAACACAAAAGGTGGGATCACACCCAACCTGTTCACAGAAAGGTGAGGAGGCCAGCATGGCCAGAGAGGAGGGGAGAGGAGAGAGGGGGCCATGGCACAGAAAGTCTCCTCAGCCATGCTTAGGCTGCGGACTCTTTCTGTAAGTGAGAATGAAACCCGTTGGAGAGGTTGGAGGAAACCATCAACAAATCTTGACACATAGAGCATCAAAACACATTCCAATCCCATCCTTTTCTCGGTCACCTCCATCCTTTGTCACCACCTCGGCCCTGCTCACTCTCCTGAAAACCCCCATCATTTCTCTGCAGGACCACAGCTTCAGAACTCAGTACTTCCACCTTTTGCCTTTCTAATTCTTCATTCTTCGCCCCAAGACAGCCACAGTGATCATTTGAGGATGTGCATTAAACACTGTCACTCCTTGTTGAAAAGCTTCTAGTGGTTGTTTTTTCCTGACCTTGCCCCAACCTTGCTCCACTCCAGCCCCACTCACTGCTGACTGGTCCTTGACCTGGGATGCTTATCCCCCAGACCACCTCCTGACTTGCCCTCCTCTTCAATGAAACCTGGGCTCCGTCACTGCCTCCGAGAAGCCTTCCCTCACCATCCTATCTAAGCCAGCAGCCTCTCATACTCTCTGTCCTCTTCTCCCACTTCCTATTTCTTCAGGGTACTTTTCACCTCTGGATGTCATATTGCAGAGCTCTTTGTTTATAGTTGGTCGCCCCTTCTAAAATCATGCCTGGTATATGTATTACTAGGATTTCAGTAAATATTTGCTGAGTGAATGAGTGAGTAGTGAAGGGAGAGAGAAATTATTCAGGTATTCACACAAATAAATAGACGACCGCAACGGTCATGAATCAGTATCTGGTGCCAGGCGAGGCTGTGATAAGGATGCCTGAATTCATCAGTGAAAACCAAGTCATCTTCCCTGTGCAAATAATGCTTGAGCTGAGATCCCAGAGGCTGAGAAGGAGTTAACCACGTGAAGAGGGGAGAGATGACTGGTCCAAGTGGAGGAAACAGTATGTTCAGCAGCCCTGTGGTGGGACGGGCCTGGCAAATATGAGTCACAGGGAAAAAGGTAGGGAGACAGTGGCAGGGAGTGCCTTGCAAGGTGAGCTGGAAAAGTAAGCAGGCGCCAGAGGCAGCAGGGCTTTGCGAGCCCTATGGAAGAACACTGTCTCTTTCCTAAGGAGAAGCAGCAGCTCTTAAATGGTTTTATGGAGATGTGTGTTGAGAATGGGGAAGGGGAGGGAGTCAGAAGTGAATCAAACCCACACCCCCGATAGTGAAAGCGCAGAGTCCTAACCATTAGACTGCCAGGGACGTCCCCAGACATGCATTTTGAAAACCTTGGTCTGACTGCAATATCAAGAAAGAATAGAGGGAGCAACGTGGCCGTGAAGAGATCACTTTGTGGTCTACGGTAGAGAGGATGGTAGCTGCATCTGGGAGCTGAGGTGAAAGAGAGAAGTGGATGGATTCAAGATGTATTTAGAAAACAAATTTGATACTGGATTGGATATAGGGAATGAGGGGGTCTCAAAGATGATAACTCCTAGGTTTGGAGGGTGCATAACTTCATTGATTAGTGTGCCTTTCAGAGCTATGAAATATCGCTAGTGTGTCTTCTTTAGGAGAGGAAGTCAAAGATCTGTTTGAACATGTTGATTTTGAGGAATTTTTGAGCTGTCTAAGAAAGGATGACAGTAGTCCATATGCAGATAGGTCTGAGTTGGAGATAGAAACATGGAAGCTAATGTTATATAAACCATCATTAAAGCCTTGGACTCTAACTCACCCAGGAAGAGTACAGACTCAAACATAGAAAAGAACTAAAGCACTCTAAAAAAATAAGGGAAAATAAAAGAAGCAAGACCTGTTCATGTAACTGCAACCTTTACCAGTCAGGTGGAAGTGACGAGCGAACATGCATTACAGAGAAAGAATGGCAAAGGAGAGAGGATAAACATCACAGGAGTGTCAGGACCCTACAGCCCAAAGAGGACCATGTTTCAAGATGGTGGAACCCATCACCTGGGTCCCAGCTGCTGAGATGTGGGAGAATCTGATGCCTGAAAATTGGATTTAGTAGCATGGAAGTCATAAGTGATTTTAGTGAGAGATGCTTGCTGGGGTGATAAGGCCAGAGGCAGGCTCCAGTGGGATGGGAGAAAAAGAAAGTATCCACAATGTGAAGAGGAGTTTGCAAGAGTTTGGAGGTGAAAGAGAGTGGAAAGATAGAGCAGAATCTAGGAGTGGGAGCATCAGGGCTTGAATGACTTTGGATAGATTTCAACATGATCAAAGACCAGTGGAAAGGATCCAGTTCAGAGAAAGAGATTAAATATACCACAAAAAGAAGGTAGTGTTAATAATAAGAAAATATTAGAGAAAGCAGGAGGAGAGAATGGGATCAAAGTCCAGGTGGAAAGATGGGCTTTAAATACAAGGAAGGATTGTTCTGTTTTCAGAGGAGAAAAGGGACATAGAATGGTCCCAGACATACATAGTTTATAACTTTGGTACCTATGGTAATATTTATCTAGTTATTTTCAGTAAGAGAGGAATTGGACTAAGATGCAGGAGATCTTGACTTTTGTATAAGTTCTTCCCCTAAATAGACTTATAGCCTTGGAGAAGTTCTTTCTCATTTCTTTGCCCATTTTTTTTTTCTTTGCCCATTTTTAAAAGGAGAGTGCTCTATTAGAAGATCTCTAGGATTTCTTACAACTATACTTACTCTAAGTAAATCAAGAGAATGTGAAATTCAAATAGCACAGTGGTAAAGAATCCACCTGCCAAGGCAGGAGACACAAGAGATGGGGGTCAGGAAGATCCCTTGGAGAAGGAACTGGCAACCCACTCCAGTATTTTTCCCTAGGAAATCCGATGGACAGAGGAACCTGGCAGGTGACAGCCCATGGGGTCACAAAGAGATATGACTGAGCACAGCACACACACACACATACATTCAGCGCGTCCAGGGGGCCAGCTACTGCACTAAACAATTCATGTGCATTAAACCACTTAGATAATTCTGCAAGGTTGGCACTGTTATTATGCAATTTAAAAACGAGTAAACAGAGCCACAGAGAGGTTAAGAGCTTGTTGGAGCCAGGCAGTCCGATTCTATAGGACTGTACACTAAACCACTGTTATCTGACCTTTCAGAAACAATAGGAAATTTCTGGAAATTATACTCTGGAACCCACATCCTGCTCACATAGGAATGGAAAAAGGATACTGGAGAAATGATTATGAATCTTCCAAATAAAGCCCCTGAAAAGCTCAGAATTTGCAGGGCTTAGGAGCTAGAGTGAGTCATGAAACAGAAAGTAGAGAAGATAGGTAAAGGTCTGCCAAAGTGGCTGGGCCATTCTCCAACTCTGTGCACAGTGCCTTGCTGTAGTGTTTAGCCCTGGCCATGGCCAGTGAGAGCAGCTTTCTAAATAAAGCCCTTCTTGTGCACATAAAGGGAGCCCAGCATTGACTCTGTGGTTGGAGAGATCAGTGGGGATTGTCCAGGTAATTTGTAGACCACCATAAGGCGATGGAGAACAAAGGACATGTTGGAATAGCAGTTAAATCTTCTAAACCCTGATACATCCACTAAGACACTTTCCCCACCTCTGATTGCCACCTGCCATCCATGCCTCATAAACAGGAATCCTCCTGTCGGCACATCCTAACTGTTCACCCGCACAGCTCTGTCACATTCTGAGAGAAAACGTGTCTGGTGAAGAGTGATTCACAACCTCAGAAGACTACAGATCAGTTTATCAAAATGTAGCCATCTCAGTCCTTCACATGAATGGCCTGTCAGTAGATGTTTCAGGAAAACCAACAGCACAGTGGAGAAACACTAGAATGAACAAGAAAATAACTGACTTCTGAGGGGAAAGTTCATGTGGAAAATGTTTTAAAAATTCTGCCTTGCATCCTGAGAGACGTCCAAGAGAATACTGCATTGCTAGAACAAAATTAGTCTGCTAAGAACAACTGCTGAGATAAAACAGGTCCATCACAATGGGTATAACTTGAAAATGGTCTCAGTAGCATGGAAGCCAAATCATGGAAGAACAGTAGGACAGACTATGGAATACAAAGGAGTACTTCATATTTTTTTAAGGTTCCAAATCAGCAGGGAACAAATGGATGAATCAGTTGATGGTATCAAGACAATGGGTTATTCATGTGGAAACAAATTAACTTAGAGGCATATCTTAAAGTTCAGTTATCCCCTTTCTCTCCCACTTGAGTTTCTCAGTCTCTATTGGATCATTTCCATCATTATTCAGATATTCCCATGTATCTCCCATTTTTAACACCTCACCCATCTCCATTTCCATTCTTTTGTTCTCCTTCGAAGCAACATTTCTTAGACTTGTGGTCCATGATTAGTCACTGTCTCTACTTCTTACCTTTCCTTTCCCTCCTAAACTCAGCCCAGGGGGGGTGCCCATTCTTACCACTCCAACATATCTGCTCTTGTTGAGGTCACCAATCATCTCAACATCACTAAATTCAGAGACATCTCTCTGTCCTTGTCCTGCTTGATCTCTTACAGGTGTTTAGCAGGGTTGATCACTTGCATTCTTTAAACATCCTCCTCTGGGTTTCCATAGCACCACTCTTTCTTGTTTTCCTCTGACTTCACTGCCTCTTTTTTCCCAATCTCCTTTGTTCAACTTCTAAACTTTGGGTTGCCTCAGGGATTGCTTAGTTTGGGGCTCTCTCCTTTGATTCTATAATCTCTTGTTTGATAATCCCACCTCCAGAGTCATAAATATCTTCTATGTTACAATGACATTACATTACTTTGCCAACAAAGGTCCGTCTAGGCAAAGCTATGGTTTTTCCAGTAGTCATGCATGGATGTGAGAGTTAAACTATAAAGAAAGCTGGGCACTGAGGAATCAATGCTTTTGAACTGTGGTGTTGGAGAAGACTCTTGAGAGTCCCTTGGACTGTAAGATCAAACCAGTTCATCCTAAAGGAAATCAGTCCTGAATATTCATTGGAAGAACTGATGCTGAAGCTGAAACTCCAATACTTTGGCCACCTGATGCAAAGAGCTGACTGATTGGAAAAGACCCTGATGCTGGGAAAGATTGAAGGCAGGAGGAGAAGGGCATGACAGAGGATGAGATGGTTGGATGGCATCACTGACTCAATGGACATGAGTTTGAGCAAGCTCTGGGAATTGGTGATGGACAGGGAAGCCTGGCATGCTGTAGTCCATGGGGTTGCAAAGAGTCGGACATGACTGAGCGGCTGAACTGAACTGAACTGACACAAATTTACATCCCTAGCCCAGACCTCTCCTCTAATATGCACTTCAAACATCGTATGTTGAAAACTGAGCTCTGAATTCCTTGTGCTCCAATTGTTTCTTATGTTTTATGAAAAGTAAATACTGGAAGAGTTAAAGATAGAAACATAAAAATTAAACAAACTACAAAAAGAATGTGTGGAAAAGTATATAGGGGATATATTACAGTAAGTATCATTTGAGATGGGGGAGGTCTTTCAAGCATGCCTCAAAGCTCAGGAGGTATAAAGGGAAAGATTTTTCCACTGACACACAGAAAACTCCTGCATACCTAAACCGAACATAGAGCTCCAAGACCAAGGACAGAGACAAACTTCTTGCAGCACTTATCACAAATGGCTACTATTTAGAACAGAAAAAGAACTACAAATCTGAGAAAAGCCAAGCAAGTCAATAGAAAACTTGACAAAGGATATGAAGAAGCAAATACAAGAGGAAGAAACGTCAAGAGCCAACAAGAGAGAACAGATGTTTCACTTCCCTAGTTATTAGGGAAATACAGATTAAAATGAGGTCCCACTTTCAACTATCAGATAGGCAAACATTTTAAAGATGAACAACACGTAGTAATTAACAAAAATATGGGGAAACTGCACACTTTCACACACCATTGTAGTGAGTGGTGGTATGAGCTCAACATTTTTGGAGAGCAATTTGGCAAAATTTAAAATATGTACATGATTTATGATGCAGCATCCCTCCTTTATGAAATATATTTTAAAGAAATACTAAAAGACATTTAAAACTCAACTGGCATTTCACACAATGTTCTGATTTATTACAAGATAACTACAGGTCAACTGTGATCGTTTGAATGTGAACAGTGTTCATCTGTGTAAACCTCCGGAGAGACTGATAATAACTGTTGGTCTTTGCTTAATTTAAAAACAAAACAAAAGTAAAGCAAAAAGAATGTCAATCTACAGAAAGGTACAGTAAAAATTCCCTTTTTATCAGATGGGTAGAGCTTGTAGCTATTAGATAAGCAATGGTATTCTGCAGGTGTGGGGGAGGGGAGACAGTGGATAGTTATCTAAAGTATTTCTTAAAAATTTATTATAGTTTATGGTAGGAAATGAAACACATTTGTGTCGCTCCTCTTTTCCTCTTTAATAAGTGAATTGCTTCCCATAATCTAAATTCACAGTTCAGAAATGGTCGTTATTCAAATCGTTTCCTACCATATTTATTTAGTAAAGCTAACACCTCATGAAGACTGCATTATCTAAAATCAGTGTTTCACTGCAATGCTTAGCAGCACAGTGGATGTGTTCATTACAGCTGTGTTAACAATCAACGTCGATCGCCACGTGACCTAGTTTCTCCCTCCCCTGTTCTTGGCGTGCCTGACTTAAGGCATCTTTGCAGCGCATATACTTTCCTTACGAAGCTTTTCCTGACTCCCGCCCCCTCCCCCACCATGGAGATGGGATCAGGGTTTATTTGTGGCCCCACTGCTTCCAGGCCAGCCTTCTATCAAGACTGGCTGCACCAGCAGCACCTGGGAGCTTGTTAGAAATGCAGACTCTCAGGCTCTACCCCAGACATAGGGAATCACACTCTCTGGGGGTGGGGTCCAGTGTTTTAACTAGTTTTTCAGGTTTTGCATACTAAAGTTTAAGAAGCACTGACCTAGGGGTACTTGGCCAGAGCCTCATCAATCTCTGGGTACAAATGAAGTCACATTGACATCACTGCCCAAATGACACTAGCTCCCTTGGCTACGCACATTTGCAGGACTCTCAGATCCTTTCCAGGTCTGCTCCTCCCCCCCCCACCCCCGCCCCCGCCAAATATTTCTGGGAGTCCCTAGGGTGTGTTCACACATGCGCCAGAGTTGATCAGGACAGCTGCTCACCCCCGCTGTGCTTGATCTCCACTGCTGCTCAATAGGAAGCTTTTTTGAAAAAATAATTTGATTTATTTATTTTTGGCTGTGCTGGGTCTTCACTGCTGTGCGGGCTTGCAGCAAATAGGGGCTACTCTAGTTGTGCTGCATGGGATTCTCACTGCAGTGGCTTCTCTTGTTGTGGAGCACCAGCTGTAGGGCACGTAGGCTTCAGTAGTTGTGGCACCTAGTCTCAGGAGTTGCAGCTCAGAGGTTCTAGAGCACAGGCTCAATAGTGATGCATGGGCTTAGTCGCTCTGAGGTATGTGGGATCTACCCGGACCAGGGACTGAACCCATGTCTCCTGCATTGGCAGGCGGATTCTCTACAGCTGAGCCTCTAGGGAAGCTCAACAGGCATCTTTTAAGCTGACAGTTCTACACAATCCACTTAAGAGCTAGTTCAGCCTCTCAAGTGAGCAAAAGTACAACTGTGCTTTGGCCTGGTGGAGTTAGATGTAGGTAACTGCTGGTCACAACATAAGGGTAAACGTGTTATCTGCCCCGTAACTTGCATTGAGCAGTTGAATTGCCCAGCCAAAGGTAACTTGCTTGCATCTCTCCAACTGAAACATCCTACTGAAGTGTTTCGACCTGTAAGTACCCCCTCCTCTCTCGCACATCCATTTCTCTGCAGCATACCATCTGCATAGTGTCACACACACTATATGTGTGTGTGTGTGTGTGTGTGTGTGTGTATGTGTGTGTGTGTGCTCATTAAAAAAAAAAAGACTTCCAGTTCTGGTCTGACCTGTTAGAAATTTGAAAATCACCACTGCATCCTAAAAATAAGTAAAAAGCTTATAAGTTTATTTTTGTGTATGGTGTTAGAAAGTGTTCTAGTTTCATTCTTTTACAAGTGGTTGACCAGTTTTCCCAGCACCACTTGTTAAAGAGGTTGTCTTTTTTCCATTGTATATCCTTGCCTCCTTTGTCGAAGATAAGGTGTCCATAGGTTCATGGGTTTATCTCTGGGGTTTCTATTCTGTTCCATTGATCTATATTTCTGTCTTTGTGCCACCTACAAACTTAAAAATCAACAACTCTTCTTAGATTCATAAGACTAGTGAGGTCACAGGGCAAACTGCTGCCCCCAAATAGAAGAGACTGACAGGGGAATACAGAGAACCACAATTTACTAGGGCAGAAACCGCTGAGGAAAGTGGTGCTGGGGCAGGAAAACCTGAACTGTAATCAACAAATTGCTGGAGGATCCGTATGGACAAGTCTGAGAGATAAGATACTCCAGGGGACCTAGTCAGCAGTGAGTGTCCACATTTTATGAGTTTTACCTCCAGGAACTCGACCAGGTTCTCACAGTAAATATTCGAGAAAAATTCCCTTGTGCTTCCAAAAGGGGGAGGGGAAAAGGAACCATTTTGAAAAACACCAGAGCACTCTGGTTTGTTTTTTTTTTAACAATAGAGACAAGAGAGACTAGTTAACCAGAGCCTAACCTACTAAGGTTTTTAGTGGAGCCTAACTGACCTGAGAGAAGGGAAATACTCAACTCTAGCCCCCTCTAGCCTTCCTATCCCACCTAAGGAGGGAGAAAAAGCTGAGAAACACTTGTGAGTTCATATTCCAGAGGCAAAGGTTCACTAAAAGTCTGAGACCTAATCCTGGGACTGTAGAATGCGCCCCCTTCCACAACACCTTATCTGCATATCACTGAAGTTCTGTGCATCAGAGTTCCTTTCATCTCATACATCATATCTAAATTTCATGAAAAAATTCCAAGGCATACTAAAAGACCAAACACATATTTTGTTTTGTTTTTAAATGATCCTTTCAGTACAGAAAAAAATTTAATAGATTTCAACACATCTTCATACACATTCATTCTGAAGCTTTTAAAACTGCAGGAAACTCAGAATGGAAAATAACTCCCTTAATTTGATAAAGGGCATCTGTAAAACACTGACATAATAATAAATAATACATCAAAACACAAATTTGAAGAAACAGAGCAACCATCAGAACCAGATGTTGGAATTATCAGACCAGGAATTTAAAGTGACTGTGACTAAGTTGATAAGAGCTCTAATGGATAAAGTAGACATTGTGTCAGAACAGATGGGCTCAGTAAGCAGATAGATGGGAATTCTAAGAAAGAATCATAAAGAAATGCTAGAGATCAAAAGTTCTGTAACAGAAATGAAGAATGCCTTTGGTGGGCTTATCCAAAGACTGAATACAACTAAGGAAAGAACCTCTGAGCTTGAGGATATCTCAGTAGAAACCTCTAAAGAAAACAGGAAAAAAAGAGTGGGAAAAAAACCCAGCAGAATATCCAAGGACTGTGGGACACCTACAAAGAGTGTAATAATACACACATAATGAGAATATCAGGAGAAACAAAGGAACTGAAGAATTATTTGAAACAATGATGATGTCCCCAAATTAATGTCAGACACCAACCTACGCATCCAGAAAGCTGAGACAACACCAAGCAGGATAAATGCCGACAAAACTACATCCAGGTGTATTAGTTTCAAAGGACAGAAAATCTAAGATAAAGAAAAATTCCTGAAAGAAGCCAGAGGGAAAAAACACCTTACCTGCAAGAGGTGCAAAGATAAGAATGATATCTGATTTCTCAGAAACCATGCAAACAAGAAGAAAGTGGAGTGAAATATTTAGTGCTGAGAATAAAATTCTACCAACCTGGAATTCCATAGCCTGTGAAATTATCTTCCAAAAGTGAAAGCACAATTCCTTCAATCTTTGTTTGTCTAAGAAGGTCTTCACTTCTTTTTCACTTTTGGATAAGTCATTCTTGATTCTTCTCTTGCCCTCAATCCCTACTCTATCAGCAAATGCTATCACCTCTCCCAGAGAATTATGTCCAGAATGAATGCAATCATTTCTCACCATCTTTACTGCTATTCTCCTAATCGGAACCACCATCACCTCTCACCTGGACCAGTGCAACAGCCTCTCGGGGCATTGTTTGTCCTCTCAGCAGTCAGCAGGATCTTTCTGAAGCAGAATCAGATCACATCACTCCTTTGCTTAAAAGCTCCAAAAGCTTTCTTTTGTACAGCCTGTTTCTGACAGTGTGTCTTTGTGTGTTGGAAATTACTTAATAAGTAATCAGGGATTGATGTTGGGATAACAGAAATTG